TCTTTTCTCGTAATTATGAGATAATACCTCGTAATTATGAGATCCTGATCTCGTAATTATGATATCTTGTAATTATGAGACCTTTTCTCGTAATTACGAGACCTTTTCTCGTAATTATAAGATCTTTTCTCGTAATTATGAGATCTTTTCTCGTAATTATGAGATAATACCTCGTAATTATGAGATCCTGATCTCGTAATTATGACATCTTATCTTGTAACTATGAGATCTTTTCTTGTAATTATGAGATCTTTTCTCATAATTATGAGATCTTTCCTCGTAATTATGAGACAATACCTCGTAATTATGAGATCCTGATCTCGTAATTATGACATCTTATCTTGTAATTATGAGATCTTTTCTCATAATTATGAGATCTTTCCTCGTAATTATGAGATCTTTTCTCGTAATTATGAGATCCTGATCTCGTAATTATGACATCTTATCTCGTAATTATGAGATCTTTTCTCGTAATTATGAGATCCTGATCTCGTAATTATGAGATCAGGAGTCCTAATTTTTTTTTTATTTGGTGAATGCAATGCTCTTCCGTATAAAACAGAGGATTTCTAAAAATAAAATTCTTGTTTTCCCCATCAGTAGGACTCATTCCTGTAGTATACAATTGTTCAAATCAACTCTTAGCCCTGACAACACTTTAAATAATATTCATCTCAGGACTACCAAATTGGTGCATCAAATTTATTTCTTTAGACAAAATGACCACACACACAAACTGTCTCAACCTGTCATCCCTTGATGCAAGTCTATTGATGAGTGCAAGCCACGGCCATTACTGTGGCTGTGTGAAGCTGAGAAGGGATTATTTTGACACTGTCCACTCAAACACCAGGAGACTTAAGGTTTTGCTTTTTGTCTTTAGCTCTCTCTTTCTTTTCCAATCTCTCCACTTCACCTCTTATTTCAGTCTCCACAGGGATTTGAGCAGAGAAGAAGGGGGGAAAAGGAAAGGATAAGGTGTGAGCTTGGGACAAGGTTTT